TGTGTGTGTGTTTCTTCGGCCGGAACAGATTAATTGCATTTCAATGCATTACTATGGGAAATGGTGCTTCGACTTACGACCATTTCGAGTTACAACCATCTTCCGGAACAGATTAAGTTCGTAAGTCGAGGCACCGCTGTAATTTAAAAAACACATGCATACAAGTACATAGGTGGAAACTGTAACAAGGTGTTAGTTACTCTTCCAGTTGGGTCTATTCACAATGAAACAGTTTTCTACAACCAACAAATGTAAACTCCCTAGTTGTATTTGCACCCAGTTCACCATTAGGCATGTGATGAATGCAAGAAGCAGATATCTAGCAGATATGATAAAGACCAAGGCCTTCTGATGCCTGACATTTTGCAAGATTATGTGGGAAACCACACCATGACAGCCTTGAGAATGATAATACTGTCAACGCATTCTGTCAAGACTGCCATCACACCTTGGCACATCTTTAGAGATCTTCAAGCAGCTGTTTCACAAAGCTTTGCCGAGAGAGAGGTCAAGATGTTTTGAAGAGCTTTACCATGTTCCTGAACTACGACAGTGCAATAACGAATGCCACGCAGAATAAATCTGCCAATCGCTGTAATGCCAGGCACTTGTCCCACACTTTCAAACTTTCGCCCCATGGTGCTGACCAGTCTGGAAAAAATGTGTAGAAGCGAACTCCATTAACATTGTCTTAGCTTTTATTCCTATACAAACAAAATTTCTCTGAATATTTGCTGAAATTTTATCAGCAATCACAGACAACCAATTATTGCTTAACTGTCATCACATCATGACTCCCTGAATTCAGTTTGTCTCAACTACTTACAGTATTAAGAATGCAGCAGGCTTCTGCCTCCACATGGATGTAAAGATAATATCAATAACTGTTTCAAGACCAGAAGTCAAAAAAGGGTTCCCAGAAGCCAGAGTGCAACTTTTCCCTTCCATCTCAACATTCCTCAAGCATACAGCTTTCCAAATAGTTTTCCAGATGCAATGTGAAAACAAAATTACAGAAACTATGTTACACCTATACATCTAAAGATTTTGATTTGTTCACATTGCTGATTTCCCTGTTTTATTATTTCAAGAAATCAATACTTTGTCTCAATAGTCTTCCTGAATTTGTATAAAAATGAGAGCTCAACAGACTGTGTGTCCAGTTCTGGACAGAACAGACTTGGTGTCAAATATGCTTGCAAATTCATGCTGTTGGCCTGCAATAATATTACTCTTACTTAGCAGAGCTTATACTGAGTGCACAAGAGAGCTATAGTTAAGTAACACATTTTGCATTTGTGTGCTAGAGTATCCTTAACCAGTAACATGAACAGCAGCCCTCAAATCTCACAGACTTTGTGTTTAAAAATCTGAAAAAAATCCTAAATACTGTATACCAATCCATCACCTAGAAAAATGATTCTGTAATTTTTAATTTTTCACATCCCAGTATCTATAGAAAGGAAGAGAATCCATCTTCTGAAACTTCAAGATAACCAAGATTTCTTCTTCATGTTGCAAAGTCAGAGAGGACTGAAAATGTCAGTTCAAAGAACTAACTTGTGTCTTCATCTAACAATCTGATCAGCTAAGGGGCTGCAAATATGGGAATCACACTACTTTCAAGCTTTCCCAGTAATGAGAAGATCAGGGTACTGATCAGAATTTGCTTTTATGACATTAGCATGTTTTTTTTTTACAATCAGGAAGACAAAATACAAAATTACATGCTTGCTCTGTTTCAGGCACTTTCAAGATCATAGTTTATTTACTGTAGGTAAAAAGCTAGTATACAGATTGGGTATCCCTTTAACTTTCAACTACAGTTATATATTTAGTATTTTCTGCTTTCAGTGTTAACCAAAATTTTGTAGACACCTGCCCTGCTATTAGTGTGTTCTGTTATCTGAAACAAAAAGAAAAAAAGGTCTGTCTTTAATTTGTCCAATGCATAATATTTACATTGTGAATGGAGCCAGAATGAGCAATGGTAAAGAGGTAATAAACGTTAAAAAGCCTGCTTATATATTTTACAATAATGTGCTAATCAGCATAATTGTATATAAAAATTAAAACATAGTAGAGCTTCCTACTACAGAAGTCTTAATTGTCTGAACTGTAATAATCATCTGCTAACAATTTACATGCAACACTTGCTAAGATTGACAGCTGATTTTTTATGTGTTAAGTAGATTAATGACATGAGACACAATATTAACTTGTACAAACAAAAACTGAAAACTGCATCCAAGAACTGTACTGGTCACAAGCCTCTTCCAAAAAATATATAACACACGATAGAGTGGTCTCATCATACAACAAATGCTATAAAGGCAATGCATAGGCAGATTGTACCTGGATGGCACAAACTCCAAAGACATTTTAAAAAGGTGTTACAGACGCGCGTGTCTCTCACACATACATTTATACCTTACAGGAGACCCATCTTTTCACCAAGAGGCAATGGATGAAAACAAAAAATAGATTGCTAGGTGTAAAATTAATTCACTTTGGAAATTTACTGAAATTAATAAGATGTGCTTATATGTTAATTATACAATTATTACTATATACAGACTACACTGGAATGTATTCTATACCAAAACGGCTTCATGAAACAACTGGACCTTTCTATACTAGCCTTAGGATTCTGTGTGTATTTTTATTTTAAAATGAGAAGTCAACACAGATTTGCCCAAGTAGCAAAATATGAGATGGCTGAACTATTTAATAAGCCAATCTGGAGATACTCCCATTTTAAAAATTACTTGAGCACTTCTAAACCAATATCTAGTAAGAAGCATAATCTTTTAAGTTCTGCTGTTGTAATATTCTTCAGTCCGCTGCAGTTGGCTTACGTGTAAGATTTCATATGAAGCCACAACAATTTAACAAAGCCTGTTAAACCATGCTCCAATAATTAACTTTGGTGACTTAAAGATGCCTTTGTGATTCAGGGTTCAGTGCTGCAGCAGATCACACAGCTGAATCAACTGAAGGCCAGGTGATTGAATCTCTCTTAGGAAGGGCTTTCAGCATGAAAACACTCCAGTGGAAGATAGAGCACAATTTATATTCCAATAAAGTAACTTAAATCTGCTAAGAAACAGAACGCCATGTGATTGCTGAGTATGTTTAGGAAGCTCTCGTGTACCAGCAGAATCCTGTAGTAGACATACGCGCACACACATACACACAAAACAGAACACACCACCTACCATTCGAATGAATGAGAGCAGATTTTCATCATATGAGTGACAGAGATACAGATGACAGAGAACATGGATCATCAATAGAAGGTAAAACTGATTTACATGAAATGGAAAGAAGAACACTTGAGCAATCTAACTGCAGTTATTTTGTGAAGGCTGCTACAACAGCCCACAGAACCTCATTTGTGTTGGCCTTCATACATTCAACTTCAGGGTCTAAATCCAGGAGCTGCCGTACCCTCTTTGTAGCTAGGTCATACTGCTCATCCAAAAGGGGGGCAAAAGCGTTCTCAAGGACATCAGATGCATGGGCTAAGTAAATGAGAGCCAGCAAGCGTTTGTCCATGCGGTGGGGGTCGTTCACCCATCTGTCAAGAACAGCTTCTTGAACTTTCTTGATGAGGCGCTGCTTAATGTTGTTGTTGGTGAGAGGGTGTGTGGTCATGTCAAAGAGGAGAAAGTTCTGTTTCTCCGTAGTCAAAACCCCCTTTTCCACTAGGTTTTTGGCTAATCGTTCACGTACGTTTCTTAACTGGTAGTGCAATTTTAATGGATTCCACGTCTCACCTGAAAAAAAAGGCAAAAAAGCCCCCTGAATATTCAGCTGATACTAACAACAATTATTCAGATAGGAAAATGAGACAGCATAGCAGGCATTAATACAAGAACATCAGGAAAAACATTAAGTATTATCTTCTCTCATTTTTGTATAGAAAACAGATGATACAAATGGACAAACTATGCAGCAATGTTCTAAGCAGGGCAGCTTAGAAGAGTTCCATGATGAAAGACTCAATGTGCCATTGTGTAGCCCCCTAAGCCGTTCCTAAGCGAGCCTCTAAAATATCCTGATAGATTAGGTGAAATGCGATTTTAACGTAATTTGAGATGTCCACCACATCTTCCAATGCCAACTAAGTTGTTTCATACTGTTTTACGACATACATGCTTATGTGCAAACAACATGTGGTAAACGCCTAAAAGGAAAGAAGCAAAAGCTGCTAATTATTACATCCATGAAACAGTTTGATAAGCCTTGCAACAGAGAAGGTTGTGAGAAGCAGTTTAACAAAGACCACCATAAAAAATTAAATGCCAAATGGCACTCTTCTCATTCAATGCACTTTTGGCTTCTCCCTCTTATTTGGAACCATCTACTCACCAATGAAACTATATACATTGTTTATTTCATTCCCATTGCAACAACTCTTAAGATAAACAAAAAGAAAAATCCTTGCTCATCAAAAATTTAGCTAAAACATGTCTGAAATATTTTCATCAGTTTTGACTTTTTCAGTTGCATGGTGACACCTTGTGACAAAATCTCTTAACTACAAGAAAATCTAAAACAAGTGCTCCATTTGAATAAATCAGCAGAAATACATATTGTAGTGGTGGGGGTAGAACATGCCCACATAGGAGAAGAGAGGTTAGATATCTTACATCTATCTCCTCTTCTAGTCCTACCCCAAACCAGACGGTATCAGGTGGCCATATCAGCAACCCCTCGAGCCACAGGGTGCTGTTGATGAATGCCAGGTCAGTACAAAACAAAACTGCCCTCATCGATGATGTAATTTTGGATAAGGGTGCTCACCTGGGTGGGAGAGGAGGGTGGTGTCCCCCTCTCCCAGTTGTGTCCGCCTGGGTACTTGGTCCAGCACCAATGTCGCTCAGAGGGTCGGGGGAGTTGCTATAGTCTATAGGAGTTCTATCTCTTTGATCAGGCTTCCTATCCCTTTAAGAGGTCGTCTCGAGGGCCTGTATTGTGTGTTGGGCTTATGAGACAGATTGGGGATTCTGTTGGTGTACCGCCCACCCTGCTGTGTACCAACAGTCTCTCCGCCTGAGCTGACAGAGGTAGTCTCGGACCTGGTGTTGAGGACTCCCAGGCTGTTGGTGCTGGGGGACCTCAACATCCATGCCGAGGCTGCCTTGACTGGAACGGCTCAGGACCTCATGGCCACCATGGGGCTGTCTCAATGTGTCATCAGCCCAACACATAAAAAGGGCCATGCCTTGGACCTGGTTTTCTCAACAGGACTGGAAGATGGTGGTTTGGATGTGGAGGGACTAGTTGTGACACCATTATCATGGTCAGACCACTTCCTGGTCAAGTTTACTCTATTAGCTTCTTCTCCCCTCTGCAAGGGTGGGGGATCTATTAAGATGATCCCCCCTTGGAGACTAATGGATCCAGATGGTTTCCTGAATGCTCTGGGGGATTATCTGTCTGATATGGTCGGCGCTCCTGTCGAAGTTCAGGTCACCCTATGGAATACGGAGATGACCCCAACGGTTGACATGATTGTGCCTAAGCACCCTCTCCCTGCACACAGAGCCCAGACAGCTCCTTGGCATACTTCTGAACAGCGGGCGATGAAGCGAGAGGGGAGACGGCTGGAGTGCAGGTGGAAGAAATCCCGCTGGGAGTCCGATCGAACACAACTTAGAGCCCATTATCGGGCCTGTTTTGTGGCAATATGGCTGGTGAAACGGCAATATTTCTCAAGCCGTATTGCTTCCTCAGAATGTCATCCAGCAGAGCTGTTTCAGGTGGGCTGGGATTTTCTTAAACCAGGAAATCCAGTGAAGGTCCCGGACTGCTCATTACCTCGCTGTGATGAGTTTGCAATTCATTTTGAGGGGGAAATCACTCAGATTCGCAGTGGGTTGGACTCCACCGTTACTGTAGAATCAGAGGATGTGTCCAGTGTGCCGTGCTTAGGTCAAGTATTAATGGATGAGTTTCA